GAGAATGGAATGTTGCGATGTTTCCTTCTAACTTGAGTTGGCTTGAGGATGGTTGATGGCTGGTACGATGATGAAACATGCAAGGTGGGGTGGAGTCGGGTGCCTTTGGGCGTGCAGCATGAACCTCATTGAGTGTGTGACGTTGTGGTGATGCTCGGCCAGCCCTATGTTTTGAAGGCGTGTGGTGCCAGAACAAGTTCGGCTGGTTGGAATCGGGTGCCTTTGGGCGTGCAACATGAGCCTCATTGAGCACGGAATGTTGCAATGTTGCCTTCTAACTGGGAATCTCTGGTGTTTGGACTGTGGATGGCTGCTGGTACGATGATGAAACATGAAAAGTGGGGTGGAGCTGGGTGCCTTCGAGCATGCGGCATGATCCTCGTTGAGTGTGGGACGTTGTTGTGGTATGCCTCCCTTCCTTGGGCTAGCCCTATGTTTTGAAGGCTGTGTGGTGGCAGAACATGCTTGGTGGGGCAGTGTCAAATGACTTTGGGCGTGCGATATGAGACTTGTTGAGCATGGAATGTGGCCTTTTAACTTGGGCTGACTTGAGGATGGTTGATGGTTGGTACGACGACAAAGCATGCAAGGTGGGGTGGAGTTGGGTGCCTTCAGGCGTCCAACATGAACCTCGTTGAGCGTGTGACGTTGTGGTGACGCCATTGGGCCATCCTTGGGCCAGCCCCATGTTTTGAAGGTGGTGTGTTGGCAAAACATGCCCGGGGCATAAGGAATTTGAGGATGTCCAGCACATGCGTTGTTGCAAAACCCCAAGAAATTAGAACGTCTTTCAAAATTATATCTATTCGTAGGATACCTCAAAGAGACGAAAGGTGGTTTGTTTTATGACTTTCAAGAAAATAAAGTGTTTGTATCAACAATTGCTACATTCTTAGAGGAAGACCACGTAAGAAATCATCAACCTCGCAGCAAACTAATATTAAGTGAGATTTCTAAAGAAGCTACTGATAAAACAACAAGAGTTGTTGATCAAGCTGGTCCTTCAACAAGAGTTGTTGATGAAGCTGACACTTCTAGTCAATCACATCCTTCTCAAGAGTTGAGAATGCCTTGACGTAGTGGGAGGGTTATAACTCAACCCGATCGTTACTTGGGTTTGGCAGAAACTCAAGTCATCATACTTGATGATGGCATTGAGGATCCATTGACCTATAAACAGGCAATGAATGATAAAGATAGAGATCAGTGGATTAAAGCCATGAATCTTAAAATGGAGTCAATGTACTTCAATTCAGTTTTGGAACTTGCAGATCAACCAGATGGGGTAAAACTTATTGGTTTCAAATGGATCTATAAGAGGAAACGAGACCAAACCGGTAAGGTACAAACCTTTAAAGCTCAACTAGTAGCAAAGGGTTATACCCAAAGAGAGGGGGTGAACTATGAAGAAACCTTCTCTCCTGTTGCTATGCTTAAATCGATTAGAATACTCTTGTCTATTGCCACATTTTATGATTATGAAATTTGACAAATAGATGTTAAGACAGCCTTTCTAAATGGAAATCTTGAAGAGAGTATTTATATGGCTCAACTAGAGGGGTTCATTGAACAGGATCACGAGCAAAGGGTTTGCAAGCTTAAAAGATCCATTTATGGGTTGAAGCAAGCATCTCGATCCTGGAATATAAAGTTTGATACTGCGATCAAATCTTATGATTTTAAACAGAATGTTGACGAACCTTGTGTTTATAAAAGGATAGTCAACTGTACAGTAGCTTTCCTGGTGTTGTACGTTGACAATATCTTACTCATTGGAAATGATGTGGGATTTCTATTTGACATTAAGCATTGGCTAGCGACACAATTCCAAATGAAAGATTTGGGAGAGGCTCAGTTTAGTCTTGGAATCCAAATTGTTCGGAATCGCAAGAACAAATCACTAGCATTGTCTCAGGCATCGTACATCGACAAAATATTGATTCGATATAAGATGCAGGACTTCAAGAAAGAATTATTACCTTTCAGGCATGAAGTTCATTTGTTGAAGGAACAAAGTCCTAAGAAACCTCAATAAGTTGAGGATATGAGACACATTCCCTATGCATCAGCGGTCGATAGTCTGATGTATGCCATGCTGTGTACCCGACCCAACGTATGCTATGCTGTGGGAATTGTCAGCAGATATCAATCCAATCCGGGACGTGCTCATTGGACTGTTGTTAAGAATATCCTCAAGTATCTTAGGATAACGAGGGACTATATGCCAATGTACGGTGCGGACTGTTGTTAAGAATATCCTCAAGTATCTTAGGATAACGAGGGACTATATGCCAATGTACGGTGCTAAGGATCTGATCCTTAGCACCGTACACTGACTCAGATTTTTAGACCGATGTAAATTCGAGGAAATCGACATCAGGATCTGTCTTCACTATGAATGAAGGAGCAATAATATGGAGAAGCATACAATAAGAAATCGACATCAGGATCTGTCTTCACTATGAATGAAGGAGCAATAATATGGAGAAGCATACAATAAGGCTGCATTGCTGATTCCACCATGGAGGCTGAGTATGTTGCTGCTTGTGAAGCAGCGAAAGAATTTGTATGGCTTAGGAAGTTCTTAACTGATTTGGAAGTCGTTCCAGATATGCATCTTCCCATCACTCTTTATTGTGATAACAATGGAGCAGTTGCAAATTCAAAAGAACTAAGAAGCCATAAGCGAGGAAAACATATTGAGCGCAAATATCATCTCATAAAGGAGATTGTGCAACGAGAAGATGTGATCGTCACACAAATAGCTTCAAAGAACAACATTGCTGATCCATTTACAAAACCCCTCACGGCTAAAGTGTTTGAATGGCACCTAGTGAGTCTAGAACTATGAGTTATGTAAACTAGGGCAAGTGGGAGAAAAGGCATGAGTATGTGATGACCTAGTTTATTGTATTTATGTCTTTCTCTCTGCTCAATGTTATAAAACCCCATTAGAGTTTTAGTCCAAGTGTTTATTGTATTTATGTCTTTCTCTCTGCTCAATGTTATAAAACCCCATTAGAGTTTTAGTCCAAGTGGGAGTTTGTTGGGTTTTATGTCCTAAAACTCATGGTTTGTAAACAAAAACATATTCTATTTTCAATAAAGTTATTATTGTTGTTTATTCAGTAAAGATTGTTATTGAATAAAGTGAACTTTATGATCATTAATCTAAATCCAATAAACTAAGAACACTCTGGCTATAGTATGATTACGTGAACTATATGTAGAGACATAAGAGTTGATCAAGTTCAAGTATAGAGTCAAAATGATCTATAGTATAAGGATAAGGCTGAGTACCTTATTCTTAGGACACTATGGATGCGGCTCACTTTTGTATATGATATAAACAATGTGATCACTTAAATTGTACATGTGGAGACATGTGAGTGGGGGCGTCCTATGCAATGAGTATTGCATAAGATCGGACCATGAGAAAAGTCACTCTCACTTTATAATGTCGTTTACTGTTGAGACTGATTTTATTTTCATTCGATGACCTAGGTAACTCGATCTTAATCCTGAGCTAACCATGAACTCCTGTTTATTCGAAATTATCCTTAGATTTGCATGGGTGAGAGTGGCTCAAGTTCGCCGACTCAATAGGCCTCCCATTTCAGGGGTAAGACTGGGTAAATGACTGGGGACGTTGGGTGCAAGATGGAATTCACTTCTACTCACTTTTAGGGATAGAAGAGAGGTAGTTCCCTTAAGTACTGACTCCAGGTCTTGAACAAGGTGCCCCACCCTCTCATTGGCCTGAGAGGGATCCAGTTTACTGGTTGGACCACAAACCAGTTGTTCATTAGAGGATCAGCGAGACATAAGAAACAAGAAGTAACTTCAGGGGTAAAACGGTAAATTAGCCCAGCTCTAGTTACGAACAACATGTGAATGATCGACTTACTAATCATGGTTATATCAAATGGACAAAAATATATCTATAATGAGGGGAGTGCAACTACTAGGCTATAGTGGAATGTCTTATTAGTTAACGAATGTTGGTTAACAAGGTTAATGAGTTTAACCGGTTAATCTTGGATCATTGGAGCCCATGATCTATAGGTCCATTAGGTCCCTCTGCTAGCTCATATCGGACTAAACCATAGAACAGTGTGACGAGTGAGTTCGAAGTGTTCGAATTCAAATTAGGGAGAATGCGCTACATATATATGATATATTTAACCGCATTTTTGTTTTATTTACGAATTAAACAAAAAGAGAGAATCAGAGATATTTAAATAAGATTTAAATATCTTAATCAAATATGTGTCAGAATTAATTGGGATTGACATTTGAATTAATATTAAATATTAATTAAATAGTTTAATTAATTATTTAATATTACTCTAATTTGTAATTAATAATTCAAATTGATTGTTGAATCAAAATGAGAAAAGTCAAAATGTTGACTTCATTTAATTGAAAAATCCATGTTAGTGGAATTTTGAGGTGTCAAAATTTGGTTTAACCAAACTTGCATGCTAGCCAAATAAACCCCACAAATTTTAGTGGAATTTTGAGTGTCAAAATTTGGAACATTCTAGTTATTTACTATAATTGATGTTCTAAAAGTGCCTAACCCGCGCATGGCCCGTCACCCGCGAATGGCCCGTCACACGCATACGGCCCGAGACCCGCGAGCGATCCGATAACTCGCGCCTCTACCCGAGACCCCTGCACACGCGTCGCTCTCTAATTGAACGTGAATGTATGCCATGTATGCTGCTTAGTTTGATGTGATATGTTATGCATGTGACGATATGTGGTTTGTGAATGATTATGGTATGATTGTATGGAATATGTGAATGTAAACCCCTCACGGCTAAAGTGTTTGAAGGGCACCTAGTGAGTCTAGGACTACGAGTTATGTAATCTAAGGCAAGTGGGAGAAAATGCATGAGTATGTGATGATCTAGTTTATTGTATTTATGTCTTTCTCTCTGCTCAATGTTATAAAACCCCACTAGAGTTTTAGTCCAAGTGGGAGTTTGTTGGGTTTTATGTCCTAAAACTCATGGTTTGTAAACAAAAACATATTCTATTTTCAATAAAGTTATTATTGTTGTTGGGTTTTATGTCCTAAAACTCATGAACATGCAAACATGACTCTATAAATAGAGTGATCATACTACATGAAACTTCTTCTTGTTGGTGAAAAACCTTGAGAAAAACCTCTCACAAACACTCTCTTCATATATACAAAAGCCCTCCCAAGTTTAGTCACTCTCCAGATTCCACAATCCCGTTCTAAGACCGGAGGATAGTGGAGAAGACACTAGTGGTGGTTCGAAACCGGTTCGTGAGGAAAAAGGAATTTGAACTACAAAAGGTTAGTATTCAAACTCATTAAGTTTTAATACTTATGAACATTCTAGTTATTTCTATAATTGATGTTCTAAAAGTGCCTAACCCGCGCATGGCCCGTCACCCGCGAATGGCCCGTCACACGCATACGGCCCGAGACCCGCGAGCGATCCGATAACTCGCACCTCGACCCGAGACCCCTGCACACGCGTCGCTCTCTAATTGAACGTGAATGTATGCCATGTATGCTGCTTAGTTTGATGTGATATGTTATGCATGTGACGATATGTGGTTCGTGAATGATTATGGCATGATTGTATGGAATATGTGAATGTAAACAGCATGAATTGTCTGGAATCATAACCCCGATAGGAATATGTATGAAATGTGAATTGAAAATGAGAATGACATGAAGTATGGAACGTGACAGGGGGTTATGATCATTAATGATAAACGTAGAAGTAGGAGGGACCTCATGCATTATGTGTGTTCATGCATCTAGGGGGATACCCTTATCCCATAACGATCGTTGTCCTGCCATTGGATGTACGCATCCTTACCCTTGTGATGGGATAGGGGTATCCCCCAAATGCATGAACACAACCATCAAATTTTTAGGTTGGGTTAGATTCTCGTGTTTATTTGTTAAAATTTAATTCATAAAGAAAACTATTTATTTATTTTCAAATATTTAATTAAGTTTTACAACTTAGTTTCAATATATATTTCTTAAAATAACGGTTAAAAATAATTAGGAGGGTTTAAGAATAAACAATAAAAAAATAATTACAAATTAAATATATATATTGAATTAAATTTTAAAACGGTTGAGTTCCAAATTTGTAGAGAGATCGGGTGAAAGAAACAAATATGAGATGAGTGTAAACAGTTTTTTTTTTCTTTTCTAAAAATTATTAAATGATTTCTTTAAAAAAATAAAAAATTAAATGATTAAGAAATGCCTAATCAATATGACAATGCATAGTTGAATGGAAGAACCAAGAAGGAATAAGGAATCAGGAAGCTTTGAACCTGATTGCATCAATTTACGCAACTAACGAAGCTTGTGATTCTATCAATTTGAACTTGCGAGTTGAGATAAAAATTATAAAATGGAAGAAGGAAGCTTTGATTAGTAAACATGTTGTGCAATTCAGTAGAATTGGAGTCGCTTATTACATTCAGATAGCAACAACTGTGGTGAATTACAAACCCATTAAAGCATGGACTCAGCACATTGCTTCGTACAAGTGCATTTATCACCCGAGCAAAATCCGTCATCCCACTTCTCAAAAGAAATGCAAAGTTCAGCACATGTTGCTGCAATGCACGGTCCTATAAATGCATCGCTGTGCTTATAGCATGTCCGCCCCTCTGTCTGCACCACCATCCATCCTGCAATAGTAACACAAACTTATTCATACAAACAAAAACCTTCTTTTTAATACTATCTGTCAATCTAAATCAACATGGAGAAGGAGGAAGGATCAAGTACCAGAAGTAAGGGCTAGGAAGATGAACACCACAATTTTGAGATTTCTCAAGCTTTGTCCCGCCATTCTTTTCTTCTCTTATTCCTTGCTACAATGGAATGTTTGTTTCTTCTCTTATTCCTTGCTACAATGGAATGTTTGGATATCAGTTCCCCATTTTATATCTGTGAAACGCCTCATCTTTGTAACGTCTTCTTGATTTCCTTGCGATTTCAAGGAAAGAATAATCACGTTTTGTAACGTCTATACTGGCCGTTCTTGATTTAAAAGGAAGTTGTTTTATTTTATTCTTGTCTAGTCATGCGGTTAACATTGGTCGATTGACGTAAATTATACTATTATTAAAAGTAACCTATTTCTTAAAAACAAATTTAAAGCATGAGCATAACCTTCTTAGTATTAATTATCTTTCATAATCTGTATAAAAGGTAGGAATTTAGGTGTACTATTGTTATACCTCTTTTCATATGCCAAAAATTTAAGATGATAAACGCAACGATTAGCATGTAGCATAACCCGGTTTATAAAATCTTGAACTGGAAAGCTTAAGTTTTATACTGTTTGATTCTGGTTTTTGTGATGGTTAAAGATTACCGTTTAATTGGTGGTGTGAAATTCAGTTGTTGATTAGCATAGTCTAAGTCATGAGAATGTTGAACCGTGGGAGGTCTTAAGAGGTTCTTGATTCTTGGCTGAGGTAACTTACTCGCTTCTTGTTCCTTCATGGCCCTAGACTACTCTTCATGGTAGACCATAAAGGTCACTAGCTCGGTGCATACTTAAATATGTCATCCTGCAAATCTTTTTGGTACCCATAACTTCTCTTCTAGGTGAGGGAAACTTGAGGCCAAACATGACATCCTGCAAAGGAAACATGGTGCAGGTCATCCCACCTAGAAGAGGAATTCTTGGGCTTTAGAAAGCACCGCTTGATGCGAGGTCATAGGTCACTTTGGGCATGGTTTGAGTATTGCCTAGCATTCTTGTGCTTTTTAGTTTGGGGACCTTGGTCCCTCGTCCTTGAGTTGTACCTAGCATTCTTCTTACTTGTGTAGTTGTAAAGCTTGTGTGGTGTTGTTCTTGGTCCTCAATCTTGTAAGTTTCTAAGGTAAATAATTTCTTGGGGCATAAGTTGTAACTTTCATTTGTAATCATATGAACCCATCTTAGCGTAAGTTGTTCTAGAAGGTCATAGATTCCTAGGGAGTTCTTTCTACCCATATCCTAACCATATTCTTTTATCAATCTCTCATATCCATAGCACTTCGAGGCATAACCTAACCTTAATGTTTCGTGAATACATCTTACTTCTATCGTTACATTACAATTAGTGCATCCTTCTCGTATCATATATCAAACATATCATTGAACACATCACACCATAAATATTATCATACAATTCACATATTATAGCATAACATAAACATAATAGAAGCATATTGATTCACAGTTTTTGGTTGACAAGACCCTTGGAGGTTAACTCGCACTCCCCTCACCCGCCACCGCACACCCTGCACGCCCCCCGCGCGCGCTCCCTCAGTAGTCATCCCGCACACCCCCGCGCGCTCACTGACACAATCGCACTTTTAAAGGCAGCGGACTAGCGATTGCGCGGCACTCACTTTCCAACGACAAGTGAGCTAAGCCAATTTGTTCTTGCGTTGCCTACAGCCAAGCGACGTATGATCGAGCCTCTAGCCTCAGTATTGAAAGAAGGTTTTAGAAAACGAGGTTAGAGAGAGATTTTAGAAAGAGAGATTTTTGAAAGAGACGTTATATAAGCAAGCAAGAGAGAGATAGCAACGACTTAGCATATATAACCTTGGGTAGGGAGAAGTTAACAACTAGTCATATCCCCCTATAGTACATTCTGAGGCATTTCATGTCTGGCAGGCCTAGACATGATATTTTTGAGGCGTCATACGCCCTAGAACTACAAAAGTAAATACACTAGAATGAAAAGACGTGACAAGGGTTTGGCTTGCTATGGACATGCGGCCATGGGCAACACGCCCTAGACGAGCATGACTGTGACATCCTCCCCCACTTAATTGGTTGACGTCCCTATCAACCGACTACTTTCAAACCTTACGATGTGGGTGGCGGCAGAGTTTAGATCTTCGGCGCTTTCCCAGCTAGTTTCTTCTGTAGGAAGATTCTTCCATTTGACAAGGAATTCATGAATCGTCCGTACAGGTCTTCCTATCTTCCTAACCCTGTCGGCAGTCTTGTGATTTCATTTCGTTGGTCGTCGTCTGGGTCAGGGTGGTATGGCTTCAAGTTGCTCACATGAATTATTGGGTGGATTTTCATCCATGCGGGTAGTGCAACTCGGTAGGAGGTAGTCCCGATCTTTTTAAGGACTTCAACCGGGCCTTCATATTTTCGAACTAGTCTCTGGTTCTTTCAGCTGCGAAATCTGATTTGTTCTAGTTTCAGCTTGATGAGGACTTGATCTCCTGCTCGGAATTGAAGGGGGCGACGCTTCTTGTCTGCCCACTTTTTCATATGCTTGGAAGCCTTCTCTAAATATGCCCGGGCTATATCTGTTGTCTGCTTCCATTCTCTTGTGAAGTTGTGAGCTTGAGGGTTTTTCCCTGCATAAGGACTCTTTCCCATAGACGAGCTGGTTTGACAATTGGAGCAAAATTGGGCTTGTTTTTACAACCATCACCCATTAAATGTGAAAGTACATGTGGGGTGGTCGGTTTGTTGTAATTTTTTTCTCGAGAGCTAAGCAACATGAAAAAATGATTCTCACAAAATTTCATATTGTTTTTTCACAACTCTAGCTATTTTTTCTAATTTCCTATTACTTAATATTTAAAAACTCATTAAAAAAAATTGGTTGGTTGAAAAATTATGAAACTTGATTTATAGATCCATTAGAACGTCCCATTAATGAATCAATCGAGTTCATGGAAAAAAACAATCTAAAACTTGAGATATTTGACGGTATGACGGCTCTGAAAAATCGTATCTAGGCCTGGCAGACCAAAAATGCCTCAAAATGTACTATATATGGGGTTGACTAGTCTGCATGGGTTGGGCACGGGGGTACCCCCTATATCTTCCGCCACCCCCATGCCCCAAGCAATATGCGCCGCACATGGGCATATGCTTGGGTCATCGAGGTGGTCGTCGGAGGTCGAGGGCGGTTGATGGCGGTGGTGCGGTGGCGGAACGCGCACGGTGGGGCAGTGTCGAAACATTCCCGCGCGCTCGCCAGCCCCGCCTTTCCCCTCGCGTGCGCCCCGCCCTGCCCCGCCAACGTGCTAACGCGCACGCACGTCCCACCGCCAACGTGCTCCCGCGCGCGTGACCCTTCGCTAGCGTGCACCTCCGCCAACGTGCTCCCGCGCGCCCTGTCTTGGCCCCGCCAGCGTTCTGCTGTGCGCGCGCTAGTGCCCGCGCCCCATCCATTACCCATTAATTGTGAAAGTACATGTGGAGTGATCGGTTTGTTGTAATTTTTTTTTAGGAGCTAAGAAACATGAAAACATGATTTCCACAAAATTTCAGATTTTTTTGACAACTCTAGCTATTTTTTCTAATTTCTTATTATTTAATATTTAAAAATTCATTCAAAAAAATTGGCTGGTTGAAAAATTATGAAAATTGATTTATAGATCCATTAGAATGTCCAATTCATGAATCAATTGAATTCATGGAAAAAAAACATTCAAAAACTTATATATCTGGCCGTATGATGGCTTAGAAAAATCGTATCTAGGCCTGACAGACCAAAAATGCCTCAAAATGTACTATATAGGGGGGTGACTAGTCTGCATGGGCTGGGCACGAGGGTACCCCCTATATCTTCCGCCACCCCCACGCTCCAAGCACTATGTGGCGCACGTGGGCATATGCTTGGGGTGTGGGGGTGGTGGTTGGCGGATGAGGGTTGTTGATGGCAGTGGTGCGGTGGCGAAACTTGCACAGTGAGGTAGTGTCGGGTGCGCCTTTGGGCGTGCAACATGAGCCTTGTTGAGAATGGAATGTTTCGATGTTGCCTTCTAACTTGGGCTGGCTTGAGGATGGTTGATGGATGGTACGATGATGAAACATGCAAGGTGGGGTGGTGTCGGGTGCCTTTGGGCGTGCGGCATGAACCTCGTTGAGTGTGTAACGTTGTGGTGATGCTCGGTCAGCCTTGGGCCAGCCCTATGTTTTGAAGGCGTGTGGTGCCATAACATGTTCGGTTGGTTGGAATCGGGTGCCTTTGGGCGTGCGACATGAGCCTCGTTGAGCATGGAATGTTGCATTGTTGCCTTGTAAATGGGAATCTCTAGTGTTTGGACTATGGATGGTTGCTGGTACGATGATGAAACATGCAAGGTGGGGTGGAGCTGGGTGCCTTTGGGCGTGCGGCATGAACCTCGTTGAGTGTGGGACGTTGTTGTGGTATGCCTCCCTTCCTTAGGCTAGCCCTATGTTTTGAAGGCTGCGTGGTGGCATAACATGCTTGGTGGGGCGGTGTCAAATGACTTTGGGCGTGCGACATGAGACTTGTTGAGCATGGAATGTGGCCTTCTAACTTGGGCTGACTTGAGGATGGCTGATGGTTGGTACGACGACAAAGCATGCAAGGTGGGATGGAGTTGGGTGCCTTCGGGCGTCCAACATGAACCTCGTTGAGCGTGTGACGTTGTGGTGACGCCATTGGGCCATCCTTGGGCCAGCCCTCTGTTTTGAAGGGGCGTGTTGGCAGAACATGCATGGTGAGGCAGTATCAAGTGTCGTTGGGCGTGCGACATGAGCCTCGCTTTGCACTGACTGTTGGGATGTTGCCTTCTAACTTGGGCTGTCTTTAGGATGGTTGATGGCTTGACCGCGCACGATGTTTTGGGCTTGGCTTCGAATGATGATTTTGAACCCCCGCTTGCGGTAGGTGTGAATAGTCGATCGTCGTCCAAGATTGTTTTAGCGTACGACGCATGAGTGGTGATTTGGTTGCTTGGGTCTATAGGCTTGATGCTCGGGCATCAAACTGTAGGTGACACCTCCTCCTCATTGGTGTGTCCCAAAGTATTTTGAATGACCGTAGTCCATTGGTTCTTGCACAGATTACCTCATGCACCGGTAGCATCGAGTCTTGTTAGTCCCTTTCTATCAGCACCCTTGTTGGGTGCATGATGAACTTGGAAGCCCGCTTCGCATATCGCTTCAACCTTTAAATGGCTTGTTGCGAAATGTGTCTCGA